ATGTGGTTTCTTGATCCGAAAAGAACAAAAATACTGTAAATTACAATGTTTTGAGTCTGCTCTTAGGGTGCGTGGGAGGTGTGGAGGGGGGGGGTACTAAAATGACTAGCAATCTCCTGAAGAATCAGGTAACGGGGCTGGCCGCCCTCCCCTTTACTTCGTAAAGTAAAACTCAAGGTAGCCCCTCTGGAGCTACCTTTCGTGATTAGATAAAATGCAAGACAACATACCACACAGTTCTCCTCTCCCAAGTGGCTCCGCACCCGCCGCTTTCAGGAGCCTACCTTTTCGCTCGCTTTGATCTTCGATTAGCAATGTTGCTAAACGTCCTTCCATATCTTCCATTGTCAGTGTTGTAGTTTGTTTGACCCACCTGGTACAAGTAATGGCCAGCGCACAATGTTCTTATGCATTTCAAAAGTTCCAAAGTTCGGAACGCGAAACTCCCATGAAAGAAAGGTGGTCCGTTTGATATTAATTGATATTAATTGTGCTGGTACGTACGCTGCCTGGCGTTAAGTGTACAACCGCATGATGTCTCGAACGAATACAACTAGCATTTTCCCCAAAAGGCTTTGAGGCGAACCGCCCTTCTAGGAAGGGCTTTTAGGCGGTTAAGGGCTTTTGGAAGGGCCAGGTATACTTTTTTCCTCACAAATCTTAACGATCTAAAAGTAGAGTATACCATCCAAAAATTAAAAAATCCAAATGGTTCCAATCCCAAAATTGGAATTAAGATTAAATCTTATGATCTTCTCCTCTTTCCTTGCGTACATCCAAATTCTTGACCTCTTTTCCCCATCTCCTTCTTCATACATTTGACACTTCCCTTGCCCAAATGACAGCAGATCCTTCAATCCAAATTCGTTTCTTGCCCACCTTCTTCATCAATCATCAATCCCTTCCTAAAGTAATTGTTGTGACTCTAGGTCATTTAGGTCAATCCATTGCGTCTGCCTTCAAACATTTATCTTTTTCTCTCTCGTACAGTTTTTTTTTTCAATTTTCCGTGGCAAATTGCATGAAGCTTTTTGTGGCCCCGCTGGTAGTGAATCCTTTCAAGCTGAGTTATTCTCATGGCTACACCCAGCACCATTTCGTGGCCAAGGAAAAGCATTTTGTGGCTAGAGCCTGTATGTAAAGATTTTAGGCATATTGTAGATTGAAGCATGTACAGTACATACCCAAATATATGCAATCAAAGATTTTATTTATTATTGACTTATTGATATACATTTTAAAGATTTAATCGATACGCCTGCAACCTCATGTGCCAGTTATTCTCGGCAAATTGCATTCACTTGTCACAATGACCCTCCTGAGTCCGCCACTGTTCTATCATCTTCTTGCGCTTCCTGCTGGAGCTCACAGGTGGCTGCACACTTCACCAGTATCCATTTGATCTATGTCGTGTTTGTTCTGGACCGACTTCACAGGTGTGATCCTACTGGTTTTGAATTAGTCTCTTCCATGTCTCCACTTTGGAATCCAACTCGCCCATCCGATCCACTGTGGCACTGCTTCGTGCTGGGAGTGAATCTCCAGAATATGGCAGGAATGAATTGAAAGACCCTGCATAGACTCTGCATACTTGCTTAGCCTGAGCGCCTTACAGGATGCTTGATGCTTTTACGCGCAAAGTTCTCCATTCTCGTTGTCCGTCATTCCACATTTTCATGGATCCAAGCTTCATGGCGTTTCCACATCATTCTCTCCATTGACACGTGTGTACGAGCAGCACAATTCATTTGTTCCGACTGTGCTTTTGGGGAAGTATGCTGCCATTCTGTATTTCCTCCCTCTTTTTGAAGAACGCCGGGCTTACATAACACAAAATTCTGGTATATGTGGGTATATCATACCACCAATAACCTGCAACAGGAATTTTAGACGCCAAAATTCAAGAGCTCCTCTTCTCTTCGTCCAGCTCTTTTTGCAACCTCTCCTGGCAGCGGGAGCAACGATCGGCTCTGGGAGTTTCACACAATGAGTTTTGTCGAAATGAGGAACTCACCATATCTCAAAGAAAGGAGATGGAAATCACCATGAAACTCTTCTTCGATTGAAAACAGAGGGCTTACACTTCCAAGTGTGTTTTGAACATCGGGCGATGCTCACCAATTGCCAAGTGTACGGGTGTAGAGTCTCAAACTTCGATCAATAAGACAAAAGCACAGCCAGTGGCCGCCAAATGCCACCAGCACTTGTCCATTTGATGCGCATCTTTTTTTGAAAACGAGCCAGACTGCGCAGCACGCTCAAGTAGCTTCTTGTTGTTCCTCTCCAGCTGCTGTGCCCTGTCCTTGTGCCGAAGGAAACAACCGGGATAGGTTTATCCCAAGTCAACATTCAGTCACAAAGTATTTTAATAGCAGGCAACGATTGTAATTCCTGTACTTCTTGGGAATAATAATCCTTTGCCATATACTGTCACTAAGTGTTCTACCATCACCATTTCACCGCCTTTGCCCACTGCCCATGTGTTTCGGCACAGGAGCCCCTTGTTTCAGAATATCTTCAAGCGGGGTCACACCTACGGCCAACCCAGAATTGATGTTGAATCCCTGTTCGCTTGAAAATAACATGGGTTGACACGGCTTTGACACGGCTTTGTCTGGAAATAGGGCACCCCAAATGTTGATGGTTTATCAATGCTTATCATCGTTCTCCCGATGATGCAACTGGCAATCTTGGAGGCAGTCCGGCAAGGTCTTCAAATGGCCGGTGACGGTATCCAAATCTTTGGCTTCAGCAGGGCCAACGGCCAAGACCGTTGTTGTTCCAGGCTCAACCTGGCACGGCCCACATAACGCTATATAACTCATACACAACCCATGGCACAAGTTGGGTAACTAGGGATTCCTAGTATGTGTAACTGGGCTACAATATGGGTCTTGACCATTGACTGACGAACTGTCCAGCCTCTGTGTGCCCGGCGTCTTGAATGGTCTCAGCCTTGGTTGTATTAGCTGAAAGTCATCAAAAAACCCACCAAAGCACAAGGTCACCTCGGGAATCTCTCCATAACATACTGATTTGCAGGGATTTTAGCCTAAAAGTGCATCTGTCTACAATCAACCAAAGTCAAACATGCACTTCCTACATCACTAAACACACGTCCAAGTGGCCAGCAAGCCTTTGGATGTAGCACCTCTACAGATGTCATGCAGCTGCTCTTCGCCTCGTTGGGAAAACCCACATGCCTGACTGGGCTCACGAATTAGAAAGGGAGGTGAATTCACCTTGCACATCATCTTCCAACCTTGTCGTCTTTGGGGTTCCAGCTGGCTTTTGCAGGATCTGCTCAGAACTTCCCCTTACTAACATACATGAACAATCATTAGTACCTGTAACTATCATATAACATATATAACATATACATAACCATAATCTATTTCTGGAAATTGCGAGGCGCAACAGTTTGGTCATCCAAATCATCCAACTGCTGGGTTTCCTGACTGTCGACCTTTAAAGTCACCTTTTTTGAACCGGACCTTTCCCAATCCTTCAAGTCTCGCCACCTGGCGCAGGCCGGGGACTCCATGTATGTGAAAGTGGCCAAGAAATCCCACTGAATTATATATACTGTAGTAATTCACAAATCTGATTTCACAAATATATAGACATCACCCATCTATAGTAATTATATAATTAGTAATTCACTTCATTTCACCCATCTAATTTATCTAATCTAAACATTATATAAAGTGACTTGCTCCTAAGCAGCAGGCTTCATCTACCCCAGGATCTAGCTGGCTTGATCTCTCCGACCTGGAGTTCGTCACGGCGTGATGCACTGCGTGGCCCACTTGAGCGGCCACTTTGCCCACGGACATGTTGAGATCCTAGGCTTTGGCTGGTGAAAATCATTGCCAAACTTAGATACGTTGCAAAAACTAAAACTGTTAGCTGGTTGGTAGATATTCCTGCAGCAAAAGATTAAAGGATTAAAGTACCTGTCCAAGGTTGACCTAGAAATGGATGAACAGATGACGATGAACATGGAGGATGCAAACTGAATGACTAAGAACAGGAAGACATATAACATATATATATATTATATTATATTATATTATATTCACAGAATTAATTCAGCAATATTCATCATTTACATCCAGATGTAGCTAGAAATCAAGGATACCAAGGGAACGTAGGCAATGAATCAACAATCATGAAAATATCACCACATAGCACTTGGGAAGAATGTCGCCAATGCGCTGATGGACAGATTCGCAACAGCCATGCCTCTTCCTCTCTCAGCCAGGCTGGGATGCGAGAACAGGTTAAATTTGTGCCACGACTTGGGTAGGATTCTACTTTTCTATCTTTCAAGGGATTGCTATTTCAGACATGCAGCACCCAATCATTGATAGACAAATAGACAAAGCATATGCAGCCCTTGCCCCCCAAAATCTGCCATCACACAGAAAAGGAGACAAGGTAGCATTCGGCGCAGAATCTACCAGGGGCCAGTGGCTTGCACGAATTCAAGGCGACCATGACCTAGTCCCTAGGCCAACCAATGGCCAATCTGAAAGAAATTAATCAATAATAAGAAATCGAACATGGATTTATTCAGCAACTCAAATTGCCTAGCTTTCAAAGCACCTGAAATCACCTAAACCGAGCCAACTCAAGGGCCCGACGTGCCGAACACATATTACCAGCTTCCAATCGTCACCTGCCAAAGTGTGTATGTGATCTTAGTCTTAGACGAACCACCAGGCAACCCCTGAAACCCATATGAATCATAATAGCTCTCTGAAGATCTCTGAAGTAAACCAATCTTTGGCAAAAACACATCAGTCATTGACGGCCAGCTGCCAGTCATGGCCTTCGGAACCACTTTCCTCCGATTCATCCTCGGGCGCTGATCAAATGCCCATAGAATTCTTGCACGGAAAATGCTGGTTGGGTGCACCTGGCCCTGTGGCGTATAACGAGACAGGAAACTCTTGCAATAAACGTCCAAAATCCCAGAGCCATTCCCTTTCACCACATTTTGCAGCTTGACTGGGCTTTGCCCGTGACGCTCAAGTGCTCAAGGATTGCGTTTTGGCGTAAAAAGCGGCAAGCACCCCCAACTAGGTCCTGCCTATCTCAGAGTCTCAAGATTACAAGAAACTTGGATCCCTCAACCCAAGTCACTTGATGCACCTTAATGTCATTTAATGTCACTTAGACTTAGACATCTCAGACCACGAGGACGGAAGGCTGCACCACGCATTTGGAGTGAGACGCATCCCATCCGCAATTGTGCTTGGCACCATGGCGTTTGCAGCTAGACTCCGTGGCATAGGACTTCTTGCTGGAAGAACAACAAGTCTGTCCAGCCTGGCAAGTGGCATCTGCAGCCATGCAGCACACATCCTTTCCTGGTGTTGGTGGTGTTGGTGTAGGGGTGGGGCTTGGGCTTGAAGACACCACAGGATAGGAGGCCTCAGAGCGAACGCCGCACATGCCGCCAGATTGTGAGACACCACGCTCAATGAGAACATAGCCATCCATGCCCCAATCGGTGTTCCAAGAATTTTTCACCTTCCAATAGGGTGTGCCATTCATGGTTCCGTAGCCCACCAACAACACTGCATGGTCCAAATCAGTGCCGCACTGCGCTTTGATCACGCCGCTCATGTAGTTTTTGAAACCAGTGGAATTGGCATCCACAGAGATGGCAACTGGCTGTTGCACCACTGCTTCCATGAGTGCATTCACATCATCAGGCTGAACATCCTTGTAACCAGTCACACCTCCTTTGGGGATGCCAACGGAACAGGAGGACATATCACAGGTCTTTCCAGCTTTTCCCTTGGAAGACTTGTAAGGATAGCTTTTCTCAGTGCACATGTCGGTGCTCTCAGCATACTTGAAAGCTGGGTCCTGGTCACCGCCATCGCAAGCATCCTCACCCTTGCCTTTCGTGCAATCCACCAGCTGCTGCTCCGACAGTGACACGAGACGTTTGGAGGACACAAACAATGCACCCTCCAAGGCTCCCGTAGTAGAGAAAGCCCAGCAAGACCCGCACCTTAAGATCTTGTTCTTTCACACAGTATATCAATGAATATATATGTTTTGTCCAGCATTTTTGTTACTACATGTTTCCTATCGTTTTCACCTCTTTCCTCCATAGGTTTTTGCACCATTTCCTCTGGTTTCCTGCATTTTCATACCTTTTCAATATTAACATTAATCCAAGAGTTTTACCTGTCTCCTTCATTTTCCGATCCTTTTTGCACCATTTCCTCTCGTTGTTATCACATTTTCCTGCACTTTCATTGTATTTTTCCAGCATGTTTACTGCATCGTCATGGTTTGCGCCTAGCATTCGCTCCGGTTTCCTCTATTTTCCAAGGGATTTCCATGGTTTGTTCCTAGCATTCGCTCCGTTTTCGTCCGTTTTCCAGGGGATTTTGTAAGATTTCCTCTGATCGTTATCATGTTTTCCTGCAGTTTCATTGTATTTTCCAATACATCCTCATGGTCTCTCTGGCCACCAAAAAGGCGGACCTAGGGGGAATCGATACCCCACCGTCAGCAAATTACCTAGTGGTACATAATCCAGCAAAATGCTCCGTTTTCTGGCGCTCAACACAGGGGCACGGCGAGATTTCGTTCCCTTTCGGCAACCACCCCCCCTCCACACCCCCTATTCTCACTTCGTTCGCAAACAGCAACTAGCCAGCTAGCTGGCTTTCGGAATATATATATATATATAATATAAATGATTATACATGTATATCATGTAGCAATCAATACCAAGCACAAACATAGGCAAAAATACATCGTCAATCATAAACAAACAGATCTAATCAATCTAATCCTATCATATCGTATCTATCTCACCTACGGTCGAGTGGATTTGAAGTTTGAAGGGAAATTCAACATCAAGAAACATCTGATACATCCTGAAACTGAAATCGAGGGCTCAACCCCTGGTCCTTCACTGGCGTGACGGCGCCCTTGGGAACCCAATCCCAGGAATCAGGCAAAGCTTGGCCGCTGTAGCGATGGGTGCCTAAGTGCTTCGCAGTACCCCAGCGCCGGTGTGGCTTGGATTTCTTGCCCAGATAGGTGGAGAACTCCTCATCAGTCAGATCCGCGAACTTGTTCACTTCCAACTCATAAGGATGTCCCTTGGCATTCTCCTCCATCACTTGTTGGTAGGTGTTCTGGAACACTCCAAAGCGGCGCAGTTCCTCCTCGGGGCTGCCGTAGTTCTTCTGCCATTTGGCTTGAAACTTCTCAAAGGCACTGCGAACTGGGTCTTCGCCGGCGGCATAGAGCGCAACAGATGCCACGAACGCCGCGCAACGCATGGCAGACACTGGCAGAAGGGCGCGCAAACGTTCAGACTATTTCAGACTGTGTGGCAAATGCTGAGGCAGCTCAAGTCTTGGCACACATGCCCTCAGCACAAATGATGTGGAGCCTGAAACCTGCCCCTAAAGGGAACTTCCCACCAGTGGAACTGCCTACCCTCCGATCATCCAGGCCTCATCTTCATCTTCATCCTCGCTCCTGTCCAGCTCCTCCCTTACAATTTGTCGAATAGACTGCAGTCCTGACAGGTCGAACATGACGGCTAGAGGCTAGAGTGATTCATAGTTCACACCTTTCTGATTCATCACTCTTAAAATCCATTAAAATCCAACACCGAATGGATATTTATTTGGTCAATTTTGACGACGCGGCTTCTCATTTCATCACCCTCGTTTCGCAGTGCCGCTGTCCTGACGAGAGCTCCTGCAGAGTTCCAAACACAACGCACGCGACCATCTCTATTTTCACTACAGGATTTGTTTCCATTTTCTTCTTGGAAGATCCTTGCTTTCGTCCTGTTGATGTCAAAAGGCCATACCACATAGCTTAATCGTGTCAACACGTGGTGACCATATATATGTATATATATATTACATATATGTAATTATATGTATATTGGGGAGTGACTTGGCCTCTTTGTCTGTGGAGGCCAGAAGCCATTTATTAAATTAACCAAATTTACAGAAACTATTTCCTAAATAAATCTAAGTTGGAGAAACTTTTTGAATATCCAATAAATTACACAATTTTAGAAACACACCAAAAAAAGTAATGTAAGTTTGGCCTTCTAGGGATTGGTTTGAAACGGTTTGGAACGGTTTCGGACTACTACCTAGTAAGTAGTATGAAGCGGTTTGAAACGGTTTCGGACTATTTGCTAATGGGCAATACCTAGAAACTAGCAAATGGTTTCTAGTATTTAGCAAATGGTTTCTAGTATTTAGCAAATGGTTTCCAGTATTTGGCAAATGGTTTCTGCCTGTGCAAGAAATAGTTTCTGGATTTTACAGAAATGGCAAATAAAGAAGCCAACGCACTTCACAATGTATATATGTGTACGTATGTGCATATGTGTGCGTGGATGTGGCTCTCGAAAATGGCTCTGGGGAGGGGGGACTTCCCCTGAATCAAAAGGGCATGGATGAACATGATCAGCGCCAACAATGGATCCATTTATATAAACTTTAACATCTTCAAGTTGACCAATTTGTGGCTACCCGGAAGCATTCCAAGTCTATGTAATGTCAACCCAGTTCATTCCCTGCCGTGTTTAGCAGGGGACTACAATGATCTATCATGTCTGCAACTATAGCAGCACACCACTTTCTTGGGGCCCCCTCTTAGTCTCCTCATGGTTGGCATCACCCATCTTGCAGTGCCTCCCGGAACCCCAAGTCTCGGCTCCTCACGAATAGCCTCACGGCATGCATCTCGCACAAGCCTTACGCGCAGCTCCCTTCCCACTGGCGCTTTCCCCGTAGGTGCAGTAGCCGAAACATGCACTCACAAAACGGCCATGTCATGCATATCAGTGCATCTCCACCAGCCAAAAGTTGCAAGACATTAATTTGTTAAAACCCATCAGGTTCCACTACGCTTCCCAGGTGCAAATCTCAAGGAATGCCTTCTTCTTTTTTGAGCCATGCTTTCCAGCCCCACTAGCGATAGCTGTTTCAAGTAAGCCCATGCCTTTCAAAAGCACGGAGATTCTCCACAGGTCCCACAAGGTCCCAACGGCAACAACTCGTTGGCGCCATCAAGTGGGCCACAAGATCCTGAAATCATCAGCCTGGATCCACAAACCTCAAGAAGTAATCTGCTCGTATCTGTTCTGGGTGCAATGGGTGTAATGGGTCTGGGCCACAAATGGCAACAGGACTGGACTATCTGACTATCAGCTCCCCTGGACTTCTGCACCTACTTTGTCATACCTGGTGACCTGGTGTGCTGCACAGCTGATGATTTTGATGATCTTCGGGGCATGGGAAGCTATTAGGCCAAGCATTTTCTCAACGATGGTACCCATACAGGCACCTATACTCTGGTCGCGTACATGGTTGTTAGTTCTGGAAGGTATTTAATTTGATCGTCCTCAAGGCAAACAAGCAAAGAGCTGTGGTCTGTTGGTCTTTGACGCAAGTTGGGGCTATGTCATGTATTTCTGCGATCTTTTGTGATGGTCTCAGGTTTTTGAGCCATAGAAAGCTTCGCTTTTGTCTGCTGCCGGGGTCTACTTCTTGCAGAGATCACCGGCCACATGGGGATCGTCTCAGCCCAGCCACAAGGTGTTGTTTGAACATGTTTGAAGATCACGGTTCATGAGACATCCCAGAAAAGCCCTGATCCAATAGGCACTCTGAAAAATCATGAAGCTGCCTACCAAGGTTTTTTCTGATCTTTGCCATCCGCCTGCAACTCTTCACACATGGACTATGCTGGACTTGGGCAAGGCGCCCTGGCTGCCATAGATCTTGTGCGGCCCTGCACCCGCGCTCTTCGTCGAAACTTGTTGAGC